TGCTTAATGTTGTGATGGTATGCTCACTGCTCTCCCTGCTAGATTTTCTTTACCTTTTTTTTTTTTTTTTTTGGTACTGGGGATCAAACTTGGGAACTTGCCCTCCAGAGGGAGGCACTGGAAAATAGGAGGAAAATATCTGGGCCATTTTTTTTTTTTTTTTTGCTTTACCCATATTATTCTTACCCTAACAAGTCCATCTGATTCTGCCCTTTCACCTGATCCTCAGCTCTAAGAAAGGAAATTTATTCTGACAGTGCCAACAGCAAAGTGGTTAATGTGCATCATAAGGAAGAATCACTCATTCTTTTGCCTTGGCGTTGGGTTCGCATTGTACAACCCTGTACAGTACTTCAGCAACTATTTTTTTTAAGATTTAAAAAGCAAAGAGTTACAAAACTGTTTGTAATTAACTTGAAATAGAAAAGATAGCACTTTTTTAAATCCCATTATATAGTACACCGTATAAATTACAGAGTATTCAAATGCACAAATGCATCTGTGTAACATTTATCAAATGTAATTCGCGTGTCTTTGTGTGCACACACATGCGCGTTCCCGAGAGTTCGGTGGTCTGCCTTGCTGACGCCGGGGGTCTGGCTGTTACGTATGGCAGTGCTCCAGGTCTGGCACGCTGCTGTTGCAGTATCGCATGTTGTTGGGAATATGGCAGTCTGTGTAATTAATGCCCCCATTCGGGGTGTAAATGGGCTGCAGTCTGAAATCTCCTTTAAGGAGCTGATCGTTATTTAAGGAGACAATCTGAAAACTTGTTTCTGTCATCTCCAGGATGGAGTTGTCCTTCTTGGTACCTGCTTCACAATAGTCATCTTTCCGCCTGCCCCGATTGTATTTCCACTTCTGGGAGGTGTAGCGCCCCTTTTTGTGCATGTGCCAGCAAAAGATGCTGAGCAAGACCACGAGCACAAAGATCACCGCGCCCCCAATCAAGCCCGCCAGCAGAAAAGGGGAGCCCATGCTGTGGGACGTCGTCTGCTCATGGCTAGAAGCAGTGTTGCTGCCATTGTTCAAATAGGAGGCGTGGGTGGTGGCCTCAGAACAGATGGTGTCTTCCATGGCACGGTAGTTAAAAGCATCCAGTGGCACTAAACAAATCCGATAGGTGGATTTGGGCTCTAAATTAAACAGGCTCAGGTGTTGCTTCTCACCACTGACAATGCGTTCCTGAACGATCCCCCCTACCAGACTGTGGCCCATTTTCACCCATGTGAGTTTGTACGCCATCACAGTAAAGAGAGAGAGCCAGCTGACTTGAATGGAAGTGTCATTCACAAAGTGGATTGAGAGCTGGATCCGTTCAGAAATGGGCGGAGTCACTCTTTCTCTGCCATCCCAGTCAGGAATGGTGGGGAGTCTGGACGTGGTAGGAGCTGGAGGCGTGTAGCTTCTGCTCTGGGTTGGAACAGAGAGCGTAGGAGGCTGAGTCATTGGGGAAATCGTACTCGGGGCCGGGGTGAGGAGAGGCAGGCCCGGGGTTGTGGTGGGACATGACAGAAGGTTCATATTCAACTCCCTGACAGCCATCCCCCTGACTTGTTCAGGACCTTGGCACATGAAACCCCGCACATTGAGAGATGAAGGGATGTACTTGAGCCATTCTGTGACCCATTTAATACTGCAGTCACAAAACCAAGGGTTATTCCGAGCAGTGAGCTGCTTCAGGTTGGAGAGGTTATCGAAGACCCCTTGAGTCAACATTCGCAGCTGGTTGTTGGATATATCCAGCCGTTCCAGCTTACGGAGGTTTGAGAAGGCCGTCAAAGGGATGTGGTTTATCTGGTTGTCCTGCAAACAGAGCCTGATCAGATTCGTACCTGGAAGATCAGGAGGAGGGTGGGAGAGCGAGTTTCGGACTATTGAAAATTCCTTCAGCTTGGTGAGATGGCTGAAGGTTCCTTCAGCAATGCCCTTGTTGGTCAGGAGGTTCCCGTCCACAATCAGGCGCTCCAAGCTTGTGAGGTTCTGAAAGGCCATGTCTGATATGACAGCAATTCGGTTTTCATCCACTCTGAGTTCCTGTAAGTCCACAGGAAGCCCGACAGGCACACTGCTCAGGTGGTTCTTGGACAGAAACAACAATTTGAGACTTACAGCTTCCCGGAAGGCCCCGTCTTCCACCCCTACTGTGGAGATAGAATTGTCATCCAGATGTAGCTCTTCAAGCTTCAGGAGCTGGGCAAGTGCAGCTCGGGAAATGGTCTGAATGTTGTTTTCCTGCAGATGGAGGACTCTGACGTTCTTGGGAAGGTTCATGGGGAATTCGTCCAGCTGGTTGCCATAAAGGAAGACCGTGTGCACGGACTGGACGCTGTGCAGCTCCGCAGGAAATCCGGCATTATTAATTTGGTTGTTGTGGAGGTAGAGTACGGTTACGCCCTCCGGGATCCCAAGAGGCACTGAGGTCAAGCTTCTCTCGTTACAGTAGACAAAGTTCCTGTCACAGCGGCACACGCTAGGGCAGGCCAGGAGTTTGGACACTTCTGAATAGAGCCCCAGGCAAATGAGAAGCCAAGATTTCAAGAAAAAAGCCCCATGGCTGGGCCACTTTGTGGTCTGTAGGCCCATTTCTGAAATACAGAAATAAAATACAATGTGGTGGGGAAAAGAAAAAGAAATTTAAAAAAAAACAACAAAAAACAGGCAGTTAAACCAAACTGCGTAGGGTTCTGCCACAGTCCAGAACTCCGGCTAGAGAGAACGTCCTGAGGGAGGATGGGAAAACGATCTTCCTGAAGTCTCTGCTCTCATCAGCCTCTGTTGCCCTCTTGATCGCTGTTCTCCGTGTGCAAAACAATACAGTAAGGAACGTTTTCCACACAGCCAACAGGTGGTGGCAAATTAGCAGCAAGGACAATACTTGCCCAAGTCAGCTGGACAGAGCTCCGCTCTTTTCAGGGTCAGGCTACGGATTTCTTGGTGAAGCGCAATCTGCAACCTGTTGTAGGAAAAAAGAAAGAGAAAAGTCCATTAAGAGTACTCGGAGAAGAAGCACTGATATAAATATAAGCCTTTGAAAAGCAATGTGATTGAGAATAAGTATGGGGAGATGGGTTAGCATCGACTGGTTGTCTCAATAACAGAAATTTAGTTGAAAATGTATTCAAGAGATGAATGCTTTCAATGTTGTCAAAAGGAAATGATATTTTACATCACATTGTCAATAATCATATTGTAAATTTTACATCCTAATCAGTACTCTCTCTTAATAGCTATTTGCATATCCAGATAGAGAATTACAACAGAGACACTGCTGAATCCCCTGGAAAGTGAACGGTGAGCACTTACAAATCCAAGTGGTCACAGTATTGTTCAAGATAAAGCTGAGGACTGAGCAACTAGAAAGTTTAAAGGAAAATGCGAAGCCCTTTTATAGAGTTATGTATCTTAAAGTTACAAACTGTGGACTAATTCATTTTTGAAATGGATCCTTGTTAAGAAATTCTTTCAAATGCAGGACATGTCCAAAGACATTTATTACATATGATTCTTCAGATACAGTGAGGTAAGAAAACTGTAGCTTTATGAGCTTCCAACTCTTCTTAACATGTATTTTAAAATTCTGATGCTTAATTGGGTTTTTTAGAGAATTTTAGAGAATAAAGATAAAAATTACATATATCATCTCGTAGATGTATTCATAACTTTATTTACTTCTCCTATTTTCTATGAAACATTGCCAAAGTAGAATCATGATTTATCTGTCTTTTGGGTCCCTAACAGCTTGAGCATTTTCCATATCAATTAAAAATCATTTATCCTTTTCTTCTGACACTAGGATGAAGTAGTAAAAATAAAATGCACAGAAGCAGGTGTAAAGGTAGAGAAAGGAGTTCTCTTGTCCTGTCTTGCCTCGCTCTTTGTCTTTGACCAAGATAGCGTACTCTGAATTCCCAAGGAAACTGACCAAACCCCAGTCCGTGGCACAGGGCCACGTATCTCCTCCTTTGGGGGCTCCAGGTACAGATGAACTATGCTATTGGGATCTCTTGAGGAGCTGCCAAGCTCATGATTGAGAATGAATTATTTTTTAATACAACAGCCTTCCTGTCAGTGAGTGCTTTCTTGCTTTCATATGGGGACTTTTAGCAAATTTTTAAACGATAGAAGGCAATTTGTAAAAAGGAAAGGCAGTCTTCGAACAGCAATCATGCCTTCTTGCTCCAGAATGTGTTCCATTTGTTTTTAGATTAGAGAGGTAAAGAAGATAATTGAAAGGTGCCAGATTTGATTTCCCTACAAAATATGTTAACATGATGGGACATGGCACTCTGCAAGTCCCTTAATTTTCACCAACACACAGAGATCGAAACAACTTATACTAAAATCACAGCGGGTATACTTGAAATTGTTCCCTTAGCTATCTTTAGAAATATAACTAAAAAAGAAAAAACAAGCACTGTAAATGTTCTTTAAGTGAAAGGATAACATAAATTTGTTCTATAATTTAAATGACTGTAGACCATTTTAAAATGTTTTTGGTAACCAGCAATGATAAAATTCATTTTGCTTTTTATTCTTCGGAAACCTTTCAATCAGAGGGGAATCATGTTTCAGACAAAAACAAAGGAACATAGTGCTTTCTTTACAATAAGGCAGTAAAAAAGCTTGGAAATATGTATTTTTCTTTTATATGAGACAGGGTTTCACCATGCAGCCCAGGCTGGCCTGGAACTTGCAGCGATCCTCCTGTCTCAGCCTCCCAAGTGCTGGGAGTACAGGCGTGCACCACCAGGCCTGGCACAGATACGTACTTTATGATGGGAAATGAGTCATTCTCTGGAGAAGAGATCTCTCTATAGTCTTAAAGGACAATTTATACAAGGAAAGGCTCACAGGAAAAGCGAGGTTAATGCCATCAGCCTGATGCTATCTTTGGCTCAGGTCTGGGGACATTTTAGTGATTTCTGCTGACTTGCTGCTTGAGTGTGGTCTTTGATTCAGTAGCCTGAGCCTTATCCGAGAAGGTGGTGGGAAGGCAAAACCATAGGCCCAGAATCTACTTATTAGCAAGAGTCTTGGCTGAACACATTAATATTGGAAAAACATTGTCGTAAATATGGTGATGGCCTTAATCACTCCTGTTTTAATTTGCTAAATGAAAAATAAACAAAAGAACATGTCCTATGATTCTTAAGAGAAAAGGCAGAAGAAATACTAATCCCTTTTGTTCCAGCAGACAGTCTGCAATGTCATTTTCCATGTAAATTATTTTTCTATATGGAGCACTGCAATGGCTGTCTATGGCATATGGCTTATGAAATGATATTTATTTCAGGTGAAGGGAGGGCTAGGAATGAGGACAAAATAAGAACTAAGATGCATCATGTAAAGGTACAAGTTCCCAATGAGAAATGTAATTGTGTTGTATACCTAACATGTACCAATAAAAGAATTTAAAAAAAAGAAATGATAGTTATTTCAATGATAACCACTAATTTCTAGCAGAAACCTAAAGACTTATTTATAGTCAGAGTAGCCCACCTTCTTGCTGGGTATCTTCCCAAAAGAATTTAAAAAATCATACCATGGTGATATATGCTCACCCATGTTCATAGTGGCACAGTTTGCAATAGCTAAAACTTGGAAACAGCCCAACTGCCCATCAACTGGAGACTGGATAAAGAAAATGTGGGTTTTTTTCTAAAATGGAGTACTACTCAGCCATAAAGAACAAGAAACTAGAGACATTTATAGCATGGATGCACATTGAGGGCATTCTCTTAAGTAAAATAAATAGGACACATATATGTAAATACCGAATTGTCTCTGGTGTGAGAAACTGCAAGTGTAGACAAGGATCAAAATGTATAATTGATAATGTGAAATAGGAAGAAAAGGTCTAAAGGGGTAGGGGGAGTGGGTAGGATAGGGAAAGGAAAAAAATATGAGAAAAGGACAAAACAGAAACAAAGTCTTTGCAAATAAGGAGTGGTGGAGGGGGTGAAGAGAGGGCAGGGAAATGGGGAAAAAATAAGAACCAAGATGCATCATGTAAAGGTACAAGTTCCCAATGATGAATGTAACTGTAGTGTATATTGTAAAAAAAAGAGAACATTTAGTCTCCAAAAGAGGTGGGAAAGTAAAGGAACAAAATATGTTTCTAAGTACAGAATTCCCCAGGAATCTTTGAAGTCTGAGAGAAGCATACAACAAAGACAGTCTCCTAGGGGAAGAGGGAAAAGCTGCCCAGGAGAAGCAAGTTCCTAGGTAGAAAGAATGGATGCTTTCATGTCTTGGTTTCCTCATCTGAAAAGAAAATAGTTCTTAACTCACAGTATTGTTGAGGCAATTAAATCATACTTGTGAAAAGCTTATGCAGTGTTTAAATGTGGCGAGAATATAACAGTCATAAACCTTCACTCTCTGTGTAACTGTTAGTTTTAATGGCACCCAAAGAGGTGAGGTCAAATAATTGGTCGGCCAGGTTCTAGGTACCTTTGCCCTCCACAGGGCGTCTCACTCTCCACAGCACCTCCATGTGGCGGAGCTGCGATGTGCACCCAAAGCTATCTTCGGACAGGGCCACATCTATGTCCTCCGGGGAGAAAAAAAATCACTCCCAGTAGAGAACCACTGACTTATGTCATCTTCCAAATGCCCAGGAAGGCTGAAATTACTACTACTAATTTTTAGAGAAAAGTAAAGCTAAGTTTCTAATAAACATGACCTAAAAATGTTCCTTGAAAAGAACAACCCCCCCCCAAAAAAAGCATGAAAATGTAACACGACTTTCACTCATTTCTCCAAACATATTGGGGGACACTAGAAGGAGGACACAGCTGTATACTGAATAGATGTGATTTTTTTTTTTTTTTTGCCTCACAAGGCTTAAAGTTTTAAAGGAGAGAGAAATGAGTAAGTAGTTGATTAGAGTACAGTGTAAAGGGCTCTAACCTAGCCCATGGGGCACTAAGGGATAAACAAAAACAAAAATACAAATATGCTCCGGGAGAAAGAAGCCCCAAACCAGAGACCCAGGGAGTTCTGCATATGAATCCAAGAACTTGTAATTTGAATCAAGAGATGAAACTCAAAAAGACCCAGTCAAAAGATGGATAACTGAAATAAATAGTTCTCAGAAGAAGTATAAATGGCCAATAAATACATGCAAAAATGTTCAAAATCTCTGGCCATCACAGAGGTATAAACTAGAACAACATTGAGTTTCCATCTCATTCCAGAAAGAGTGGCTATCATTAAGAAATCAAATAATAACAATTGCTGGCAAGGCTGTGGTTGGGGGAACCCTCCTGCATTGTTGGTAGGAATGTAAACTGGTGCAACCACTATGGAGATCAGTATGGAGAGTCCTCAAAAAACTAAAACTAGAAATTTCATTTCACCTAGATATTCCCATCCTAGATATCTTTGCAAAAGAGTTAAAAACATCATATTATAGTGATCTATGAATATGCATATTTATAGCAGCACAATTCATAATAGATAAATCTTGCAAGTGGCCTATATGTCCATCAACAGATGAATAAATAAATAAAAATTGTGGGATTCACACACAGTGGAATACTACCCTGCCTCAAAGAAGGATGAACTTTAGTAATTTGTAGGAAAATGAATAACCATAATCTTAAATGAAGTAAAACAGACACACAAGTTTAAATACCAATGGCTTCTCTTATAGGAGAATTCCAAAATGTAAAAAACAAAATAAAAGGTAAGAAGTAGGGAGATAAATTTGTTCAAATGGGAAGACAATTACAGAAGAAGGGAGGGAGAGAGAGGAGGGGAAAGGATGGAAAAACTAATTAAGATGTGCTATGTACGTGTAACAACTTCCCACAAGGCATATATAATCATTATGTAACACAAACATGAACTAGTAAAAAACAAAAACTGAAACCGAAAAAAAGTGATGAAACTCATCACAGAGAAGGAACAAAACTTCAACTGAAGAGCACTTTCCCCTGTTTGCTTCTCATTGAGTATTTTGCTTCTAGAAGGTAATCATTCCATATTTCAAGATTATTAGGCACTTCATTTATAGGTCTCTAAATTTGGGGATAAAGTTGTTTTATAAGGTAAATTTGAAATATGGAGAGCAAACATTTTTGACCGTTTTGCTTATTTGTTTGAATATTTTATTGAATACTTTTCCTGTCCAGGAAGCTAGAAAGTATACAGGGTAAATTCTGGGTAAAACCAGAAATTTTCATTGGAAGTAAGAGTTTCAAAAGCCTTAACAAGGACTCTGAGCACAGCCAGAACCTTGGGATCTGCTTGTGTATTAAAGATGATAGTAACAGCAGAAGTATCTCAAGCTATTTTACTTTAAATCTTTTCATAGGAATCAAGCCTTAAAGTACATAAATCATGAAAACGCTTTCTGCAAAGTGTTTCTCTCCTAGCGCTGCCTAACAAGGGTTTTTTTTTTCTTAATTAATTCCAGAAGCCTAGTATTCCAGGACTGCTTAATAAACCCAGGCTATAAAAATCATAGTACAGAAAATAAGAACTGTCAATAAGCATTGCCAATCACATACTATAATGACTCTAGGACAAACCTAATAAAATCTTAATGGTTTCACCACTGGTGAGATTGTGACAAGACAGCACGGTGCATGAAGTGGTACAAATGAGAAAGCTAAACTGAAAGCAAACAAATGAAAAGCTAATTCCTTTCTAGGATTCGCCTAGAAAAGTTTTCCAGGATCCTGTCCAACTTAGAGTTTCTGGAGTTCAGCAATTAGTGCTCAAATCAGTCCCCAGCAGGTGCAGAATCCATATGCCATGCTGCACTATGAATGTCTGGTATAATCTGGAAACAGGAAAACAATTTATAGATCGCCTGCACAGTTCCACATTCCTGAGGACAGGTTATAAATACTGTTCGTATGACAAACAGGGCGTTTTGTATTTTGTTGGCCATGATCTGGGGATTAGGAAAGGAATTTGGAGGGACAGAAGAGCAGCCACCCCCAACCTGAAACCATTTTCTCCATATCATTCAACTTGACCAAGCCTGTTGAAGTTTCTCAGTAGACAAATATTTTTCTTTGGTAAGGCAAAGAGAAGGAAAGAAGGAAAGTGAGAGAGAAGGAGAAAAGGAGAGATGGGAAGAAAGGAAATACTTTATTTAAACTGTTGACAATTTCCTGGCTCCAGTCAGTCTAGAATTGAAAACATTAAGATCAAACCAAAAAAAGCTGTGTTAACAAAGCACAAAATACTGTCACACATTTGAAGAACTGTTCTCACATGGTTTCCAACTGGTTCAAAGAGAGGTAAGTTTAGAGCAAGCAACCACTGCTAAAAACTCAAATGCATAAACACTGGGGACACTCACTATGCCAACACACCTCTCTCCATCCACTAGAGAGCACCCACTGATTGCACCATGTACCTTTAGACCTGGGACTGCAAGACTGTAGCTTCTTCCCATGTCAGCCACCGCCCACACGTACCTTATCTAGAAAGTGGAACGACCAGTTGTCTTGATGCCTAGAAACCAATCCCAGAGAGCCCCTGTGCTGGGAGTTGGCTCCCGGTTGTGAACAGAAATTAGTAAAGCAGGATTTTGGAGGGAAAACAATAAAGTGAGAGAGTATTAACAGAATTCAAAAGGACATGGTCCAAAGCAGGCTGACCTCCCATAGCTCGCAGGTGTGTAGGTATCAAGCCGCTTCAAAGGGTAGTAGCTCGATTCATTCATAATACTAATTTGATTAAATGGATTTCAAATAGCATCATGTTTCATAGAAAAATAACCAATTTTTTAAAGTCTTATTTTGGGAAGGATTCTCTGCCATCATTTGATACAATGGTCACCTGACCCTGAGGATCATCAAAAACAGGAGGGGAAGGTGACATAAAATGAAGACTTCCTGGTCCCACCTCTGCAGATTCTGGTACAGCAGGTCTGTTAGAGGCTGGGCATGCACATCCTGGCGATCTTCCCCAGGAGGATCTGATGACGGGGCCCTTTACCATCTGTTTATCTGGCCACGCCCTCTCTGGAGCTATTTTCAGGGCATCTAGGCAACTGGCCTCTTTGTCTTCTGCATCGTCAGTCCTGTTCCCTTGCTTTGGTGTTGTGGGAAAAGCAAACCTTCTGGAGCCTGTCAGAATTTAGTACTGATCTCAGCTCATCCTTTCACTAATAGCAGGATGATGGCAACTGACTCTACCTCTCTAAACCTCACTCTCTTCATCTCAAGGAGGTAATTATTAGCTGCGTTTACAGAATTGGTGGAAAGATTTGGGTAAATTGTAAAGTGCCTAAAAGTACCAGCTAAACACAAAGTAAATTGATTTAGGAGAGACTGAGGAGGTATGGTGAACAACAAACAGATGAACTCTGAACAGAATTATCACTTACTAGTATTGCTTCTGGAACATGACTTCGGCCCCATGTACCCCATAAAATACATGAAAAAGAGGGAAAATAATTTAATATTAATCTCTCAAAGTTTTTGTAGGACGGTAAGTCATTTGTATGGTAACCTATGTCTGAAAAACACATATTCTTATCACTAATGATTCCTATTAGCTTTAAACAACAGTAAACTCTCGTGCACAAGGAAGCATTTTTCCTAATTAGGTAGACCTGCTCCTCTTGAATTCATCCAATTTACTTCATCTTTCATTCCTTAATACTCATCCTTTTCTTTGGTGATATACAAATACTTCTTCCCATGCATCAACCCTGAAACTATGTGGACACAGTTACTAGTTCCATCAGTGTGTGATGGGGCTGGGAACCAAAGCGGGCATAGGCTGAAGAGCCTTGTTCCTTAACCTGTTCCACCTCCCTGAAAAGCTCCTCACAGGCAGGGGCTGGTCAGCTTTTGCTCTTGGTTATTTCCCCAAAGCCCACAAGAGCATGTGGCATGCATTCAAAAACCATTGGTAGAATAAATGAAGGAATCAAAGAAAGAACCTACAGATGATTACTTTGTTTGAAGAGGCAGTCTGTGGAAACTCTTCAACATCTTCAGTGTGAAGTCCCACAAGAAATCACTGAATGCTATTTCAGAACAGCTTTCAAGAGATTTAAGCTCTTGAAACCTACATAGACTGAGTGAGAGATAGATAGTCCTTGAACATAAAGAAATTAGATGATCTTAGTAAAGTCACAGAGCACGTAATTAGAAAATAATTGCAGTTCCACAGCACTATACTGCTTTATAAAATAAAGTGAAATCCTGTGCTTTTATTTACATACAGTATTCAAGAAATGGTGTTGCTATGAAGCATTATCACAAAGCAGGTTTGATAAGATGATTGCCAATACTTAATGCTTCAGTTCTAGGACGGTTGTGAGCTAAAATCAGGATTTTGTGCTCTACCACACAATATATGTATATATGCTCACATAATATCAATAACATCCAAATATCCACATAAATTCACTGTCACAGTTTAACTAAGCTTTACTTGCATACCATTTTACCATCCCATACTGTTAGAAAAACTATAAAATAGACCAGTATCTCTGAAAGCTATAAAAAAGCTTAGGAAAAAAATAAACTGAATCCAAAAATATAAACATGGCCTACTTCCCCACCAAAACACTGCACCACATATGTAATATACATAGTGTTACGGAAAATCTTCTGTCTCCTTCCCAAGGAAAATGCAGATTCCAAGTCTGCAATATTGACTAAGCCCATGAAATGAAATTACAGAGTGTATATTTCCAGGTGAATTATCTGGTTCTGAGTCTAAAAATAAAAAATTCATTGCTTAAGCTTATTTTGGTATCAGAAGGATGGCTCTGAATGTAAATGGTTTGAAATTTCCTCCCTGAATAAATAAGCTTTTACAATGTGTTCTCATCTTCAGAACACCTGTCATGCTGAGGTGTCAGGCTATGTTAAGGGGACTGCCTATTCCTGGATGTGGGAAATGAGAAGAGAAAAGAAACAGGAGGAAGATGATTATTTCTTATCCTTGACCCTCTCATTCTCTCAAGGACGTTTGCTCCCCCAGAACATGACAAGATATGGGTTAAGATCAAATCATTTCCAAAGCTTAAAATAAAACCCCAGATGAGCTGCACCGGTTTTATATCCAGGAGAGCTGCACAAAGCACGAAAGGAATGACTCAAAGGAAAGTATAAAAAACACAGGGAAGGTTTTTAAATCCCCCTGTAAAATAACTATAGTGATGGCCTTTCTCATTTGAATACCTTTTGAGGTATGTTCCTGAAACACCAGGGAATTTAAACACGGAAGCAGATTCCTTTATAGCTTATACACAATCAGAGCCCTGCTTTCATTGATGGACGCTGCAGCTTTCAAACTTTACCCTAAATGCAAAAGACTTGTGTACTTTTAAGTATATGCTGCCAATCAACTTCAATTATTGAATTCTCTGTCAGGGAGAAATAGCGACCAAAAGAAAAAGAATAAAAACACAATAGCTCTTCTTTCTTTTTCTTATGTAAAGAAAGTAAGGTACATTTTGACTTAGTCCCTGTTACCCTAGGCCCCTGTGCCTGTAACTGTCACCAGAGGGAAAGTGACACTGCTGAAGGGTGGTTTCAGTAACACACACACAGACACACACACACTCACACAAACACACACCCCCCCAAAAAAAACAATACACAAGAGAAGACAGCTTTGATTCATACTTCATCCTTTTTAACCACTTTATATTTCGATAGAATACAGTTGTGATCCTCCCTGCTCAATAAAAATAAAACTCAAGTATAAATGAGGTCTGAGATGGTAAATTATATACAAAACACCTAGTGATGATGAGGTCGTCATATGCAAGGAATGAGGCTGGGTTACTCATTTCTCTGACAGCTACACTCTCAAGCTGGGCTGAAATGCAGGCCTGGGTCCTGGGAAGTGGTCTAAGTGGCCTACAAGGTTTGCCCTACCAAGTACTGAATTCAATTATGAGCCTGTCTCTGAGACCAACCACTGCGCGGGAGAAAAACCTAGAAGCAGCCAACAACCTCAGGTCTTGTCCTTTCCCAGTGAACCTCCCTTTCCCCTCTCTTTACCAGTTTCCTAATGTTTATATGATCCTGCAGTTATTAACCAATTAATTTAGACTCTAGCCGGGGATTTAGCTCAGTGGTTTCGCCGCCTGCTGCTCAAGCACAAGGACCCGAGTTCGATCCCCTGTACCAAAAAAAACCAAAACCCAAACAAAAAAATTTAGACTCTAATAACACCCTCTCTAGAAATGCCAATGTTTCTGGCTTGCATTCCAAATCAAGTAAAATATATCAAAACTCTTCTTAAAGCTGGGAGCTCCCCTTCCTTCCTTCACTGGTTCTTGAGTGGCTACTATGTGATGCAAAGAGGGACAAAAGAAATGAAGTCCTCATAGTCAGGAGGAGCTAGGCTTCAAAAGTGTTTAGAAAGCAAGGAAACAAAAATCAGAAGCTACAGACTTGACACCTGGGACAATAGCATTGTGGGCAAAATCATGAAGAAAATAAACTATGATAAAGGGTAGGTCCAGATGGGTAAGAGCAGGTTTAACTAAGGTAATCATGAATGGTGGTTTGCAGAATGGGACCCCCCATTGGTTGAGATGTTATGGAGGGTACCCAGGATGAGAGAGGTCAGTGCATGGGGGAGAGAGGTAAATAGCATAGTGGGCCTAATTAAGAGCAGGCAGAGAGGAACAAGGAAGGGAGAACCTGGCCATCTTTAGGAACTGTAAAAACAATGTGACTGGAAATGGAGGAAAGAAGAGAGCAGGAAGACGTCCTAGGTTCTATGGACTAGGACAGGTAGAGCCTTGCACAGCTTTGGAAAGCCTTTTGGACTTTATTCTTACTGCAATGAAAGCCTGCAAGTAAATATACACCAGCAGGGAGGGTATGGTGAGAGAAGATTAAGATCACTGCTCAGATCTGTGCACCAAAGAACTAAAAGCAGTGCCTCCAGAAAAGAAGTAATTATCAAGTAGAACAGGAAATTTTACTAGGAAAAGCTTGGAGAGGAAAAGCAACTTTAAACTTCTGTCAAAATACTCCAGTGTCCTGTCTCAGAGTCTCGCAAACACCGCAGACCTTTTTATTTTTCTGCTGTCTCAAATTATTCTTGGAACTAGATGAAGTATAAATAATAAATAAAGAAATACAGCTTTGTGTAAACAAGGACTTTGATGACAAAGTGAGGCTTCCATGCTGGGTAACGACAACCACATAATTAATTAAAAGGGTCTTTTCCCTTCTATCCAGAGCACTGAAGCCTGCCACCCTGGTTAACAAAGTGTCCCCTGCACTGGAGAAGGCACAGACCACCCACTGTGCATTAGCAAGTAAATTGGTCTCTACCTATAAATTATTCTATGTAGTAAGTAAAAGCACTGACCTTTTATCTCCTTCTGAAGTTCTATGCATAGCCTGGCAAACAACCATGCGTTTGAAAAAGCACTGTGGAGTGACTCTGCTGATGAGTTCCAAAGTTGTACAATCCGTGGTTTGAAATGTTTCGTAAAGTTGTCCTGGGCTGCATCTTTACTGAGTGGCTGCTCTATCTCACCTTAAGAGAAGGCTACTGCAAGTGAGGCCGTGCCTCCTTCAAGGGATGCAGAAGCCCACTCTTGCTTTGATTCTACCTGAGGTCTTACTTGGTCTTTGGGAGCCTCAAAGGTACAGGAATCATAGTTATTTTGGGATAAGACTTCCAGAAGCAAATCCTCAGTGATACAACCACCACCATAACTACTTTTGGGAGTGGCTTTGTCCCTGGTATTTTCTCAGAATGTTCTGGCTCTCTAATGTTCATGACCTTTCCTCTGGAGTTCAGAGCACAGAAGTCATCTAAAAAAAAAAAAAAAAAAAGCTGGAACTAACCAGTCTACCCTCAGACATCTCTACTTATCAGGCAAAGTGTGCAGGGTCAAGGGTGTGACCATCCAAAGCCTCTACTGCCACTTCCAGCTTCACTGAATCCACAGAAAACAGAATTTCCTGCCCCAAATATTCTCCTAGGACCTGGGTAGATGTCTCCACTACATCTGCCCTTCAGAGGTCACAGCACCTCTAGGCTTGTTGGAATTCAGGAGAGGGAATGCATAATGGGGAATGAACGGAAAGGCCATGGGGCTCACGATGGAACCCCCAGCGTAAGGGAAGAACTGTGAGCTCCCCACGCTGCTGCTTTTCATACCGATACACTAGAATTTGAGAATTCTAAAGCCAAACTTAAATTCAGGAAATATTATCAAACAACTCACAAGTGTCTAGACTTGCTAACTCCGGACTTACCAAAATTAAATAAAAATGTATCATCCATTCATGTATTTAATAATAATTTTTCAAATAACTGCTACATGACAGGTAGTGGCCTGTTATGAACTGAAATGAGTCCACAAAATTCATTTGTTGACATGCTACCCTCCTAAACCTTAGAAGGAGATTATATTTGGAGATGGAGTTTTTAAGAGATAATAAAGTTAAAATGATTTTATCAGTGTGGTTCAGATCCAATATGTCCAATATAAGAAGAGATCATGACATATATGTAAACAGTGGAAAGACCATGTGAAGACATGGGAGAGAAGTCAGCTATCTACAATCCAGAGAAAAATCAGAGAAGAAGCCAATCCTGTCCACACCTTTCCTTTGCACCTCTAGTCTCGAGGATTGTGAAAAAATAAATCTCTTTTGTCCAAGTCACTCAGTCTGCGATATTTTCTTATGACAATTTAAGCTAACACTTAACTTCATAGTACAGTGAGAGGTACATAAACTGCATCATACATTAAGAAAGGCATGCTGCAACTAATCCTAATAATAGGTGAGTAAGAAACTGCTCATTACATCCAACACTCGTAGCTGGATTACAAAGCAAACTTGTTTGCAAACTGATGCCAAGTCTTCTGACTAGACTTCCACTTTGAACCTAATTTCAGTTTCCAGCCCTCCCAAGGGAATTTCTTGTTCTTGGCCTGAACACTTTCTTTTCCCAGGTGCTGTGGCCCTAGCTTTAGAAGTTCCAAGAATCCATCTACCCTCTATTTTTCAGGCTAGTGAATAAAGGCTTAATATTCTCCATGACAATCCATTAATGAAAATGAAAACTGCTGCTAAGTGGTCATTTAGATAAGTAGTATCACATACCTCTAATTGCTTTCTCAGACCCCCCAAAAATCACTGATGTGGTTCAATCCTTTGCTGTCCTCTTTGCATCAATAATTTGTAGATCTAAGTGTCTTTCTCTGGAGGAAAACAGGCCTAGAAAGAGGAAGCATGATCCTCAGGCCAAAATTTGCTCTGTCCCACATGATAAAGAGCCAACTCCTAATGCTTGACTTGGGGAAGGTACAGTCACCTAAGGTGCAACAGAGCATACGTTCTTGGTGAGGGCAAG